CCCCCCCCCCCCCGCACCTCCTCCACCTTTCCTCCGTCCCCGTTACCTCTTTCCTGAGCTTTCGTTGTGTAAAACACCGAAAACATTCGTATTTATTGGCGATTCCCAGGGCACCTTCCTCCCCCTTTCCCCTCACTCCATAGGGGCTTAGGTAGCAGAAGTTTACTCGGTACCCCTTACCCCCAGGGGCCTTGTAAGTTTGAGTTTAGTGTTCATTGGCGAGACTGGGGAAGGGGAGGGGGGAGGGGGGAAGGAGAGAGGGGGGCAGTGCGACGATTGAAGGGTGAGCTGGGAGCTGGCCTAGCGGGGGAGAAGGGGGTCGGGGGATACAGTGACGAAGGAAGAAGGAAAGGTGAAAAATCGCCTTCCCCTTTCTCTCCCCTCCCCCAGGAGACCGCTCTGGATTCGCCTATATTCATATTTGAAGTAATTTCCGCTCAAAAACTTCAGCAGTATGAAAATACGACGTAAAATTCTTCAAAAAACAAACTTTGCCCGGTGTAACTCGCTTGATTAGCAGTTCCAACATAACACTAAGTTCATTCAATGTGAAATAACGAACAGCAAATTCAATCCAAACAGCCGCACATTCAACGAAATCCTGGATATTTTCTAAGCGCCTGGAAAAAAAAACCAAAAGCACTCGTAGGCTATGTCAATTTTATCAAATATACTATTTTTTTTTTTGAAATAAATGATTAGCCTCTATTTCTGGTACACTCAGGCCCTCTACGATTCGATCTTCCTTTCGATAACAAATATCTGGAAGTTAAACCTACCATCATTAGCTTGGTTTTAAGCAACGCTCACAAGAGGGAGCCATCGACAGCCTTGCCAATAAAAGACTGAATCTGGTGAGGGGTTTTGATTTTTGACCTGACTTTTACTCTGATTACAATAAGATGATTGAACCGGAAGGATCAATGGTGAAAAAATAAGTGATTTTACCAGCAAAATTTTATAGGACAAACTACTCAGACGCTATTTCATAGTAATGCATATTTATGTCATTTACGAATTTGCTACTTTTTTGTGATTTTCGTTGCCAAAATTACACATAATGCTTAATTAGTTTCCGTCTTTGCCAAAACAGAACGCTCCGTTCTCAAATTCTGCTTCAGGAACCGATCAGTACTCAGCAAATTCATCTTCCCAAATGATTCAGGAATTAAACGCCTTGCCAGCACGCTATTTTCGTAAAAAGCGTTTCGTCATAATTGACATTTAATGACTGCCCGTAACATGGGTTAACTTTCTCTTTCTCTCCTCACTCACTCTGTTTGCCTTCTCTCTTTCTCTGATTTCTTTTCCTTTCGCATATCCGTCTTGCAAATTAGTCACATGACTGCTCAGTACATGGTGAGTAGGAGGCTGTACTGATGAATTCTGCTTCGCGCGCACAGTTCGGTCTGGGTTTACAGCTAAGGGATGAAACATAGAGACTGCACCGTAAAATGTCTTCTTACACATGACACTTAAGCCCAATTCCTCTATTCTACTATTTTATTACTTTCCTTTTTTCCCTTAAAGACAACAATTAAATGTATGCACTTTCACAGAAACTTGTGCAGTCTTTTAGCTCATCAATTACCATTAATTCAAAAGAGTTAAACCCCAAATAAACGAGTGCCAGAAATGCTTCCAAGGGAACCGAATATCTTTAGAAAAACCAAAATATATTCTCAAAACGATTACAACAAGCAGAAAAAACTTACATTGCTCTTCGCCAACAATTCTTCAAAATTATTCGTCTTGTTTCATCAGCGATAGAATTCTCCAACAATCGTTCACCAAAAACGCAAAGCTCTCTGGAATTCACTTCCTCGCCGGAGGTTACCTGAAAAAAAAACATTTATTAAATCAAAACGCAACGATATAATTAGAATTGCAGTGATATGTGGCCGAATTGCAGTGATATAATTAGAATTTTTGTAAAAAAATCCCAATTTCCGTGACATCTGCAGTGATAATTTGATAATTTATAGTGATAATTTTTCGTGATAATTACAGTGATAATCCGAATTACACTGATAATTTGCAATCTCAATGATAAGATCAAATTTTTTTAAAGAAAATTTTCAATTGCGGTAAATTTCACATCAAAATCACCACAAAAAAAAACGATTTCCATCTCTTTGAATACTGCTGTGTTGAAGGCAATGATGTACGGATGCGAAACTGGTCACCTACATTCCTCCTCCCTCCTATCCCACAACAGATCGAATCTTCGGTACCAACAGAGCTTCTAAATGTATGAAGCTTGCTCACCAACCAGTTTGCAGACATCCAAAGCATGCTGCGATAAATAGCTCGATGGCATTGAGAGCAAGAATGGAAGCAAAAAAGAAGAGCGTTTGTTGCTATCAATGCAAACATTCCACAGTGGTTGGAGTTCCTCATACGTTACAGCATTATAAGTGACACATTGTATAATCCATTCTAAAGCTGGCGTGAATAACGGCGTCTGAAAAAATTCAAAGTCTGATTTTCACAAGCACAGTGTTTACAGCTAAAGGATGAAACACAGACTGGTCAGCGATACGTTTAGCACTGTGCTTCAAGTATTAAACATTTTTGTATAAGCAGAAAGGGAAAATTGCTAACTCGGGAACGATAGAAGCTAGAAAGCTGAAACTTTAGGGGAATGTTCCCTACTTACGTAAGACGAAAATCAGCCGTTTAGAAGAGTGATATGTTAGCTTGCGAATTAGGTACGAATTAGGTACAGTGATATTTCGTAACATATTTGTAATATAGACCGAAACATTTCTTACCATTATAACAATTTTATTAAAACAATTTTGGTACTTCTACTAATTTCTTCATATTATTTTCCCTTCTCTTCTTCCGTCTACTTCAAAATACTTTTCTATTTTTAGGCTAATAGTCGATTTTTTGATTAAACTGTGCGATTTTTTCGATTGTTCAGATGGCTAACTCGTAAATGGGATATGTCAGGATGTCATAGTCTCACTCCAGTTTGATTCCTCTATTAATCCTCGAAAGCACTGCCAAAGATCTTTCGGTTACTTCTCAAAAACTCCCCAAAAACGGGAAATGAAGGGGATTTTCATCACAGGTGAATATTCTCCCGGACAGATTACAGCGTTTTTTGGCTGATTCCAATGGACACGAAAATTAACTCAACCCTAAAATTTGTTATTTTGCTCAAAATTATCCAAAAAAAAAGTGTTGACTTTTTCTTGAGGTTATCCAAGAAAAAAACCACAACAGACCTGTTGTACAGGAAAGATGCTTAGGCAATCGTTAAAACATTTCCAAGGCAAATCACGATAGCCACTGGCATGGCGCATAGCAATACGGCAAAGGAAAGCTCGAGCATAGGTGGATACAAGTGGATTTGGCAAAGAAGAAGGCATTTCGGCCAAACGCATCAGATTCACCGTTAGCGAATCATCATCCAGAAAACGAATACATCCAATCAAAGCAGTTTCCACTAAAAAAAAAAAAAAAAAAAAAAAAAAAACATTTGCTGAATTTATATGCACGAAAAA